CAATCATGAAGGTATCAATTTTGAATGCTTGTTGACTCATGACTGTATTTCTGTTCAACTGTTGGTTGATTATTGTTGTTGTTAGATTTCCCGTTCAACAAACATAACAATAAACCACTAATCAAACAAGTTTGAAGTTATGAGTCCACAAGCTTTTAAAATTGACAACCTCACGATTTCCAGTTTGTGACTGCGCCCGTTTTTCTTGTGGACTCCTCATATATTATTATTAGTTCTTGATGGGTGTTTTTTTGTTTGTGTGTGTGTTTTTAATTCCTCCAAAATGTCACATGACTTGGCAGACAAACTGATGATCAACGCCACCAGTCTGCAGACAGACAACCACCGAGCCTCCCAGGAGCTGAACAGGCTCCAGGCTCAGTACACCGACCTCATCAGGCAGCTGGAGCAGACGCAGACCATAGTGGATACGCTATCGGTGGGTTGGATGGATGGATGTATGGACAAAATTTACTCGTTAATCTAATCAGTATGCTTTGCATAGCAGTCTGTCAAAATGATTTTTTGAGAAACACTGAAAGAGATCTTCCCAATAGAAGTATTCTAAAATGAAGAATACAACCCTGGGAGTACAAAATGATCCCAGGGCATACGGATAGGGTTAAACTTTAGTTTTACAGAAAATAATGTTATGTTGTTTTTTGAACAAATAGTCTTTCAAATGTTTTTTTGTATATCGTCCTTTGTATGTTGTATCTGAAATTCATTTTTGATTTATTAATTTTCAGGCGAGTAAGAAAAGTCTGGAGGAGGAGAACGGTACGCTCCAAAGTCGTGTTCGCAGTCTGAGTGATGAATTTGAGAAACTGAAGAAACTTCAGGAAGAAACGAAAGAGGTAATTGTAGTGTTGTCACTGTCAAACATGGTTAAGGGATTTAACCCAATAAGTCAGAGTCCATTTGTCCTCGTCCATTATTCTTAGTGACTGCCCGTAACTGTCGTGAGTTGTCTTCATCCTTTCGAAGTGATTACCCTTGTCAGTGTTGTGAGCAGTATATAAGCACAAGACCATGTGGTCTGTCTCTTCCGAGCAGAACATGTGAACAGAGTATGTGCCAGTTGTTAAGTATTAAACTGCCTACCCCTACCAGATGTGCTTGTCGTTGAATTTGATAGTAATGGACTTCCATAGAAGTAGTAGTGGAGGTCATCATTATTCTTAAGTACAAACTATAGATGTTAGTAGTTACGTAATTAACATAGAATACAATCTAGTGGCATGTTCCTTCTGGACAGTAACATAAAAGTACAGCTGTACTATCATAATATAATGATGATTCAAAATTTAGTACAAAGCTTATGAAAAGTGAACTTTATTCTTTTTAAAATGCACACCAAATACCATGCTCATAGATCTTTTTTTAGTAAGATAAATGCTTTTCAGTAAAATTCACTTGGACATGTTTTTTAAAATATACAAATAAAAGAGATTGAGCCAAAAAACAAAAATTCTATAAAAATTACCGAACTGGCGGAAAAATGCCTGTTTCTCCGATGTCGTTATTTTGACGAGCACCTGATGATTTCATCATGATGCCTCACATATCTTGGTCAAGAACACAATCCAAATACCAGCCAATGTTACAGCTGTAGCATCAAGGTTGCTTGACATTGTTTATGAGCTAGTGATCACTAATTACTGGACTATTGAGAGCCTCTGGTGAGATTGTTGTTGTGAAGTGCATTTGCATTCATACATAAATATTCATAGGCCCTAATCTATTATTTTCTTTGTTGTTGTTTTTTTAATTCTGTGAATAAATGTAGCCTTTTTATTCGTATATTATATGTCCATTAATTTTATTTCTCTTTCTATTTGTCTATCGTGATTTACAAATGAAGTCTGAAACAAGGCTGGCAGCAGAGAAGAATTCACTCGAGGAAGACTTTTGCAGTACCCGGTCGGAGAAGGAGAAGTTTTCCTCGGAACTCCGAGAAAAGAAAAGAAAAATGTAAGATAAGATAAGATAAGATAAGATAAGATACATCTTCATTGTCCAGATCCTGGCACATTGATTTGGTGTTTCACCACGTACACATGCATGCACGCACACATGCACACACGCACAAACATGCATGCGCACGCACACAGGCTTACAGTCACATGCTTAATATAAATGAACAGCAATATAAACAATTATAATCTTAAGCAAATTACATACTCAATTTTTTTTGATGCATGCCTATTCTCCAACCAAGTAAGTAAGTAAGTAAGCCTCACAATTAATCAAATGTTGTTTTGTTTTGTTTTATGATAGGGATTCTCTGGAGCATGAGCTGCGCACGACAAAGCAGAGCCTGAACCAGAAGAACCAGGAGTTCTCTGCGGCGGCCGACGGGCTGGAGGTGGAGTTGGCGACGCTCAAGTCTCAGCTGGAGGCCATGGAGGGAGAGAAACAGCTGGTGCTGCGGGACAAGGAGAGTCTCCTGGAGGAGGTGAACATTTCTTCTGACGAGGAAGGGGGGGTTGTCTTTTTTTGTTGTTGTTTATTTTTATCCCTTGCCCATTTATATGAGATTGACGCCATCTGATTAGTAGAAAAAAAGTGCATATGATTGTGTCTAATAGTGTAATACGTGCATACTTAGTATAACAAGTAACTGTAATAGCAGATAGAGATTTCAGGATTATAGATGTAAGTCATTGATCTGAGAGCGGTGATGATTTTAGATATAATGGTGGTGATGAGTGATGATGTGGGATTGCATTTAAGTAATGTTAGCGTTAGTCCTATCTTCCTCTCCTCCTATGAGTCACAAAGGACGTGGGCAGGAAAGGCGGTTGTCACTTTTCCCTTTTTCTCAACTTTATGAATGTTAGGTTGTTATGAATGTTGTGGCTTCGATGGCCTAGTGGTTAGGCTCCCAGACTCACAGCCGTAAGATTGTGCGTTCGAATCCCGTTAGGGGCCTGTCGTTGTGTCCTTGGGTAAGGCACTTCACACAAATTGAGCTTGCTGCTTGGCTCCTTATTACCGCTGTCTTTCATCCACACACCTGAGCTTATGGTAGGAAAGATCTACACCTAGCCTTCTCGGATATGGGCAAAAGATCACGGAGGTCTCGAGTGCGGGTTGCGCACCTTAAAGATTCCTTGATGGTCCTAAAATCGATAAGAGTAGACATCGGCCATCACCCGTGCAATATTCAAAATTTCCTACTGACGGAAAATTTTTTAATGTGTCCCGCGTGCTCATATGACCTTTTGCAGTTGCGAACGCAGTAAAATACTTACGGAAAAAAAGTTTCTACGACACATGAACAGAGTTAAAGACCTGAAACATCTTGCTCTGCGGGTAAATAGAAGATAAGAGAGATAAGGGTAGAGCAAGAGCAATTTTCGTAGAGGACTTGAAAAGATCTCTCTCTCTCTCTCTCTCTCTCTCTCTCTCTCTCTCTCTCTCTCTCTCTCTCTCTCTCTCTCTCTCTCTCTCTCTCTCTCTCTCTCTCTCTCTCTCTCTTTCCCTTTCTCTCTTTTGCTTTGTCTCTGACTCTCTCTCTGTTTCTCTCTCTTTCTCTGTTTCTCTGTCTCTGTCTCTCTGTCTCTCTGTCTCTCTCTGTTTCTCTGTCTCTCTCTCTCTCTCCTTCTTTCCTATCAAACATCTGTCGTCCTTATCTCCCCTCCTTCTTTTTTGTGTTTGTTGTTACTCTCTTGTAACACATAATCTATTCTTCGGCACTTACATGACCTTATTGTGTTGCAAGTGCCGTAAAACTCGTACTAAAACTAAAACTCTCTCTCTCTGTCTGTCTGTCTGTCTGTCTGTCTGTCTGTCTGTCTGTCTGTCTGTCTGTCTGTCTCTCTCTCTCTCTCTCTCTCTCTCTCTCTCTCTCTCTCTCTCTCTTCCTTCTGGCACTGTGACGTCATAAGTGGTCAGCAATGCTGACAGCACGCAAGAACTCAACACTCGCTCGGGGGAGGGGGGGGGGGGTGGTCCTTGAATAGTGCTGATCATGGGTCGTTGAAATGTCTCAACAGACTTGTTTTTAAAAAAAAATAGATCGAGGGCCGCTAAGTTAACTATGGTAAGTCATGTTTTTCTTGAAACGTCGTCTTGGCATTTGTAGGCTCCCTTATGAAAATGAAGTTGATCCACCCAAAACGCTTCAAGAAAATCCATTTTTTTGCCTGTCCTGTAAAATTTGAAAAACATGACTTACCATAGTTTACTTGGCGTACCTCGAGATGTGTTGTGGCGAGTGTATTATGACGAGTGTGTTATGGTGAGTTTGTTACGATGGCGATGATAGCTATTTTCTATTCTAAAACCCCTCTAACTAACAGGGGCGGGTGGTTGGCGGGTGCTCTGGTGTGGTTTGCTCCTTCTTTACTACCAAACATCTATCGTCCTGATCTCTCGTCCATCTTTTTATGTTTGTTGTTAATGTTACTCTCTTGTAACACCTCTACTCTTCTGGCACTTATATGACCTTATTGTGTTGCAAGTGCCGTAAAACTCTTACTAAAACCCCTCTAACTAACAGGTCAATCAGACGGTGGACACTTTGATGTCGGAGCGGTCGCGTCTGCAAACCGAGCTCCAGGCCAGCTGCGTCGAGGCGGAGTCGCTGCGAGCAACGTGCTCTCGTCTGGAACAAGACAAGGCCCAGCTGCTTGAGAGGCTAGGAGGTCTGCAGCATCAGCAGGTGAGGTCAATGGGGTCAATAAGGTCATTGACCTTCCTCGCCCTTCCCTCTGTCTGTCTGTGTGCATTCTGTTGTTGCGAGCTGTTTTTGTTGCAGTTCAAAATGTGGCAAACTTTTCTTTGTCAGAATGAGTCGGTTTGACCACAGCTTTCGTTCTTCTATTTCGCTTAAGAATATAGTCTCTTCTGCAGATGTACTGGTTATCATCAGACATTGACTGACCGACCATTATTATTTTTATCATTCTTCTTCTTCTTCTTCTTCTTCTTCTTCTTCTTCTTCTTCTTCTTCTTCTTCTTCTTCTTCTTCTTCTTCTTCTTCTTCTTACGATTACTATTACTTTTATTACTATTATTACCATTATTGTTATTATTATTATTATTATTAATATTACTGTTATTGTATTATTATTATTATTATTATTATTATTATTATAATTATTATCATGTTCATGATTTAAACTAATGCAAAAAACAACAACTAACAAACCAATTCTCGCTTTCCTCAGACCACGCAGCGCAAGGTGGAGGAAACTCTCAACGAAATGATGGAGCAGAAAAACCGTCTGGCCTACGAGAACGGCAAGCTGCAGTCGACCATTAACCAGCTGCGGCAGGACTTCGATGAGGTGTCGCGAGAGCAAGGGGACATCTCCCAGCTGCGAAGTCTCAGTCAGAGCTTGCAGGCCAAGTATACGAAGGTCAGGGGGGAGATGGTTTTTGCTTTTCTTTTGTTCTTCTTGTCGTTCTGTTCTGTAAGAATTTATGACTGTGTGAGTTCATCAATGTGTGCGAGGGTGTCTGGGTAAGCTTTGACTGATATGTGTCCGCT